TTTATGTCGTAATTTTACATAGTTTTTTGCAACGCTTATGGAAAAGCGAAGAGCATGCAAATTGAAAATAAACACACGAAAGCACCATTAATATGGTTTTTCTGTGGCACCTGTAGCACAAAGGTTTGAAGTGTTCTGTCTTGCAAACCGTAGTTAGTTCAATCCCGGCGGGAGTAACAATACTCTCCCCAATCCTTCAGAAATCGGTAAAGTGGTACACGATAAAACGGTAGGTCATCGAAAACTATTGCGTAAGTAAAAAACGCATTAAATCACCTTTACGATGCCACGAATACAGCCGAATGCGTGGCGCATCTCCTGCGGATTGGTTGTCGCTAAACGCCTTTTCCTCAACTCACTTTTTTCCTTCCTATTAAAGCGTATTTCCCCATATCATAGGTAGTCTTCGGCTTACTCCAGCGACCAGCAACAAATTCTCCATTGGTCCAGTAGGGCATCTACAGCTACTCACGTGAATCCATCCGCTTGAGAGACGAGAACAGCCTCACATTTTTGACATGGAACACTTTTTTCCATTGTTGTTTAAGATAAAATAGCTGCAAATAGACTAAGTGGGTTTTGCCATGGGATCGACTGGATCTCTTAGAAGGACTGCCTATATCAAATGTCGAACTAATTCCTTATAAATTTTGATGGTTCTACTGTAGCGACGTGCACTAAGAAAGTTCACTGCAACCATGGCAACGTTCAAACTCATCAAGAAAGCTTTTGAAAAAAAGGAGAACTAACTAGTAATGCATTTTACCCATTCAGGTAATGCCATTCTGAACCAACGTGGTGAATTTCTACCGCATATACGACTTGCTAAGGATCTCATGGATAAACGGAGGTTAGTAAGACATTTTTATTAACTAAGAGAAGATTTTGAAGTGGCAAAACTCTAGCTATTTCCTAACTTTAGTAGTGATGATTAGGTTCTTTCTTACCCACTGAGTTATCCTTGGTCGCACATTAATTTCAGGACTTGCTAACAGTTCAATACAGTTTTTAAAGCTAACTCCTAGACTGTTCAAATTTTCGCTCGAAAATCAAAGAACGATGGTTGTAATAATATATAATATAATGTGCATAATTGTACGCTCCACTATTTCGTCACAGGCATTAATCTTACGCTCCGACGTGAGCTCTAGAAGAGCCAAGAAAGGATGAAGGATAGAGCTCTCAGCGTTGATCAATTTCTGGGGCATGCGCCATGCATTCGACTTCATCAAGCATCGTCGGAGGTGATTGAATGCATATCTGGCCTTTACAATGACTACTGATGTACAGAGCCAGTGATGCTATCTCTCCAGACAAGTCTGGTACCAATTTGCCGACTCCGGAGAGATAGAAGGCTTGGTGAGCCTAGGAGGCGGGGATCGATCCCATGTGTATTGCAGGGTGCCTCCGATCACTGCGCTATATGCGCTGCTACAAGAGTTAAACGACATGAAAACAATGGACGAAAATAAATAGCTAAAAAAATTTAATAACGGAAATAACTAGCTTGAAATCAGCGTGTCTCAGCCTACAGTGAATCTTATTAAATGAAACAATACTAGAGTCTAAAAATCCTTGCATACAGGATAAGAGTTCTCTTCTTTTATAACGATCGTGCCCTGATTTTCTGGAGTCCACGGCATATATTTCTCCCACTTTTTTCTCTGTGGCTCACAGTTCGAAAATGAGAGTAGGTGAAAAAACGGGATCATGTCCAGAATGACATGATGGTGTTTCTCACTACGTCGTTCATTTTTCTACTCGCCCTTCTTCAGTTTGAAATTTTAAAACGTTAAATTCCACTTCCAGTTTTTCTAGAATCCTGATCCTAAGCGTATTTGTATTTGGAAGAACAGTCTATAAAACTCATACATACGATTGTTCTAACAATGCAGTATCTGGACTAATCTATGACTTTCTGAAATCCTGAGATAGAGATGGATGAGACAGTCCTCGCCCGTGTATTACTCTGAGCGGCTGCTATCCACTAACTAACTGGAATACAACGAATAAACGACTCTGAAAAAGGCGAAGCCGTCGAAACGTCGGCTGTTGTATCCTAATAATTTCTATAATACTAACCTCGTGTCTTCTTACTGAAGAAAAACGTCAAGTCCTGAGATAGTTCGTCGACCGAGAAATCGTCGGTCGTCGAAAAATTAGCTTTACGTGACGAAAAAGTTAAATATACTTTATAACTACATATTAATGCTTAGATTTCTTGCTATTACATTCTACATAGATCGTGTTTAAAAAAAGCGGTGCCGCTTGAAATTTGGTGAAAAGACGAGACGTCCCACTGGCCGCAAATCATACTAGGCAAAAGGCAAAAGGACGCGGAATAATCTTTATTAATAAGTTTAATCACCTACCAACGGTTTACAGCCACCTCGTGGCTGGGAATTGTTCCTGAGTGACGGACTGCAATGTACAGCTGGGGATTCATCTCCTGGCATGGTCTCCCAAGCTGAGAAGGAGCCCGGATTTTCCATCAGGAAGCCTAGCTAAGAGTGAACCAATACCAGGATCCACCATCGTCCTGGTATCAAAGTCGCATAGTGGCAAATCTCCCTCTGATCCACGAGCGCTGCGAGTGCCTGAGGTGGTGAAGACCTGAGGCAGACTTTGGCCAGGCTAACCTTGGCACTCCATGGAACTACAGCGGATAAGTCAGGAAATTTCCGAAAACTGGAGATTATGCTGAGGCCCGCACTACCAGTAAGGACGGGCCATTCAACTATCAAGTATCAAGTAATGATTTCAATAAAATCTTTTTACTAAGTTTAATGAATCTTTACTATTAAGTTTAAATAAGCTGAAAACTTTAAAATTTCCACGTTTCAATGAAGCATCTCAAAAACGGCATAGCCATACTAATGAACTCCCTATATTAAGGCATAGGAAATCGTCGAGCGTTGTAATTCCAAGGTTTCACTTCTTTCAAAACGAAAGCCACTTCGGTAGCTCGTTGTCGTCCCACCGATTAATGGCGATCTAACAAATTGCATCCTGCCTGAAAGGAAACTGTTGAAACTTCGAGGTTCAGAAAATCACTAAATCAAAGGCAAAAAGTTTTCGAATGATGAATATTCGGTTTTTCTTGGTGAGCAAACATGAGTTTGTTAATACAGCATTTATTAATGCAGAATAGCTGACGTTTCGCCGGTTTCATCATCTCCAGAACGTGAAAAGGTCAAAGCAACATGTTATCTGCTGAGCCAAATACCTCCACAAATACCAAAACCTCAGCAGACAAGGGTAACATATAAATTTCCATGCACGTGATAAACAGCGTCTTTTAAACATCCACCGTTTTGCCCCTTGTAAGTCATTGAGTTATTTGTTGGAAGCCAGCTGCTTAGAGTATTACATGAGCGAGGAATGTGCCTGGGTCAGGTCACAGAATCAACCTAAGGTATAGCGCTAGCTCACACGAGATAACAAGACATCATATGATATCGTGTCTCGAGGTGAAGAGAAAGTCGGTCTTGGGATAAATATTCTCTTTGCCATCATCCTGAGAAGAATTTCTGTGCAAGATCAGATTGTTAATAACGACAAGCGACAATAAATTTGTTATTATTTCCTTTATTCGGAAGAACTGCAGATTTCAAAGATAGGTAGTTTCATATTGCTGTTTTTTCATCTAGCTTCACCAAACTGTTAAGAAAGAAGTTATCCTAAAGCTGCTGAAGGACGACACAAATAACGAATTCCGATGATCGATGTTGAACCAGAGACAGTATTCAAAGTGGCGGCGCACCGGTGCACTGGATTTTTGCTTATAGTTTCTTCACAGTCCATTCAATTATCTATTTTCGCCATTTGCTATGCTATATGAGAAATTAACTTTAAATATAATAAGAAAGATTAAATAGTGCATAGCAGATTTGAGCTCCCTAGATCAATCCCGTCGACGGGTGATTGCTGATGGAAAAAGATCGATAGAACTAGCTGAGAGACAGGCAAAGCAAAGGACCCGCATGATGTGGTGGTGAACGCGTTATCCCCCGAAAAGATAATATCGCGTTCGTTCCCCACCGCAGACAACTGCGGTCTGGAGTTTTGCAAATATCTCAGCATCATTGCGGATGTATCACACCTAATACCTTGCCGTGAGGACTTGTAACAAGCAGTAAATGAAAAGTTAACATTGTAAATAGTGGATAGCTTTAAAATAGTGTTCTTCTTCAGGTACGACGCTCGTGTCCGACCGATCTTGAATCATACAACTCCAACTACCGTCTCATTTTCGATGAGTCTTTATCAGATACTCGCCATTGTTGGTTCATACGATATTTATTGGCTTATTAACTGGCTCAGCTCATTGATTTTCTAACATATTGAAGGTGTTTAGCAAATATTTGAACATCTACTGCAATGAAGAATATATCAAAAAATTTCAATCCTAGAAAGTAGGTGGTAAAAACCGACGATGGGCGACATGTCGTTGTTCGCACTTTTACAGGTGTAATCGTCCGGAAAAAAGACGAGAACTACTTGTGATGCTGTTTTGGATACGGTAACGAAAACAACGAGAAACAGATTGTATTGGGAGAAAAAAGACTGACAACTGGCATTTCAAGACAGACATTGATTATCTATAGAAAATAAACGATAGAGCTCTCGGCGTTGATCAATCCCTGAGGGACACGCCATGCATTCGACTTCATTAAGTATCGTTGGAGGTGATTGCATAGCTGACCGCTACAATGACTCGCGTTGGCCCACCGTGCCAGTGCTGCTTTCTTCTCAGACAAGTCTGATACGAATTTGCTGACTCCGGAGGGATGGAAAGCTTGGTAGGCCATGGGTGCGCGGATCGATTCCACGGGTGTGTCGCAGTGGCGCCTCCAACCACTATGCCACACGAGACCATGTACTATGTTTTCAGACAAAAATTTGTGCGAAAGAAGACTTTGATCAATAAAAATGTGGAATAAAAAATATTATGTAATACTAAAATATACAGAGCCCTCCCTGAGTATTAAAGAGTTTAGAATGAAAAACAGCAAAACGTCGATTTGAACGTGTGGGTGATCCAGAAATGGCGTGATGACTTTCTCGGATGGAATCCATACCTTTACGGAATGATCAATACCACTATACTGCCATTTGATGCTATTTGGTTACCGGACACATACATCTATAACAGGTACTTTTTTAACAATATTGCGCACATTTTGACGTCTCATCCACCAATCAATAAATGTTATAAGCAACTCAATAAGCTACCAAGAAGAATGCGAATACGAAGAATTATTGAACTACGGTCGGTGCTGCGCACCCACGTGATCTTTGATATTAACATCATTGATTGCCGATGGCAACGTTAGATGGAAAAGTAGCTGAAGAAAACGCAAAGCACGGGTCTCAGTAGTTCAGTACGTAATTCGCCGGACCACGGAAAGCGTAATCGTGGTTCGATCTGGTCGCGGATCCAAGTTTTATATCTCGGTATCGTTGTGGTTGTATTTCACATAACACCTTGATGTGAAAAGTTGTAATATCCAGCAAATAAAAAACTACCACTGTTGTCAATGCTTTTTCTACGCACAACTCGTCGTCACAAGTTGCACTAAACCTAGCATTTACCGCATTCGATTCGTTTCCTCTCAATCATTATCGTCCATGAAGATGTTCCGATTTGGGCATTAGTTCGGTTGGCAGTTGAGGATTTTGCGCTCTTCATAGATGTCGTTGAGTTCTGGTCGAGTCGATTACTTTTCGAGTCCTGGTTTTCCCGTACTAGGGTTTACCAGCATCTCAATCACTCTCCAGTTTTTACGGATTGGGCAGGGCTAGCCGATCGCAGACATGTCCGGCAGGAATTTCCCGACTCCATAGAGATGTGGTCCTCAACAGGCCAGCAACGAAATCGAATGAGGGCACGCATTGAGACCATCACTATCATTGGAGTACTACCTATATTATTTATATCATTAATGTTTTTACTGCTATTACTATTTCCTTAATATTATTATTGTCACAACTACTCCTATTGTTATTTTGATTAGTTGGCTTTAACTTCTATTTCTAATGACTTCGTAGCAATGTCACATCATATCTTTTATGACTTTGATTCTTCGTATACTAAAGCTTTTAAAGTTTTCTTTTTCACTTGTAGCCTCCTTCTTTTCGACTATTTCACAATATGACATATATTTATTGATTTCTAAACATTTTCTAACATGAACCGAGAGTTTTATGATTTTCAGTGATGCTGAGATATTTGCAAAACTCCGGACCGAAGGTGTCTGCGGTGTGAAATAAGCTTGCTGTTGCCCTTTGCGGGTGCTAACGTGTTCACCACCACACCACGCGGGTCCCTCGTTTCGCCTGTCACTCAGCTAGTTCTATCGATCAGTGCCATCAGCAATCATTTGTCAGCGGAATTGAACTAGGGAGTCCAAATCGGCAATGAACCCAGTTAAGCTGAAGCCGCAGTTATAATCACAATTTTAACTTATTATTCACCGCCTACTCTTTTTAATTGTATGGTATGTTGCGAAATATAACTTCGATGATGCTGAGATTTTGCAAAACTTGGACCCTAAGCCAGATTCGAACCCGCGAATACCATTTCCCGGGGTTCACGTCCTACACAATGGACCACCAAGGCAGTTGCTTTGCCTTTCTCTCAGTGAAATTTCTACCTAGCGATGTCATCAGCAATCACCCATCAACAGGGAATGATCTAAGCAGCATAAGTCGGCATTGAACCCGGTTAAACTGAGGCTGTAGTCGAAACCGCAGCGATTATATTTTTATTTCCTGCTCATTTTTTAAATCTAAATCATTTTCCTAAGGTATCATCTGAAAGAAAATCGTGGTGATGCTAAGTTATTAGCAAAACTTCAACACCCAGGCCAGATTCGAACTAGCATCATTCTGCTTGATCGTTCTGTGCTTTGTTTTTATCTTTTGTTCTAAAACACTAATTTTTTAGTGTGGTGATGAATCGTGAAGAAACTGAACGCTACATTAATGTGGTGGTGACGACAAACTTCTGGAAAGGTGAACGAGGTGCCGAAATCAAATTCATGTATCCAGCGTTATATCGCACAAGTTGTATGCTTGACATTAGGTTTGTCGTTTATCCATTGACATTTTGCGGAAATCCACTTTTGTAAGTTTGGTATCAGGAAAATGAATCCATCCTCCTTTCTGTTCGTTAAAATTTTCTACGTACTTTCTTCGTAACAATCTCCTTCTTCTTCATCAGCATATTTGTGTTCATTAACACTTGCAAGAATTCTCGAGAATACACGGAATAGCCGACTCCTGATTGTAGGAAAGCAGAAGGGCTTAGTGAGCAACGGCCGCTAACGAGTTTTGACCACTTACCAGGACGAGTTGCCATTTTTGTACCGTTGTTCCGGATATCTAACAAATTCGCAGAAATACGAGAAAAATGTGACTCATAGCTAAACGAGAGCAGTTCAGCCTACAACTTCCGAGAGGGCATTTTTTTTCAGTTGAAGTAAGATCTGTTGCAGAGAAATCACATGGAAGTATAATGTGCCCCTTCCATCAGAATAGCAGTCTTATAAACTGCCCTATATCACGCGTGATAATGAGGCATTCTTCCCTGCGGTTCATTTTCGGATTTCTGGAATTAATCCAGAGTGCCTCGAGAGTTTTTCGCGCCTGTGTTCTTGATTCGCGTGCGAGGATCGTGACACATACTTCGAAGTCGTCCCCGTTATGTCTCTGGGTCCTATGCGTGCCTAGCGGGGTATTTGGTCTATTTTTTCCGGCTAGGTGTTCTTTCATGTGGACACAGAGGGGTCTACCCGTTTCGACAATGTATTCGTCACCGCACGTATTACAGGAGGTCAGATAAACTATACCCGAGCTCATGCAATCACCGTCTCTACCACTGGGGCAAATTATGCAATTTTGAGTTGCACATAGACGGTCATATAGACGGTTACGAACTAGCTGGTGCTTAAGATTACTCGGTGGTATTTCAACTGCGCTCACCGAATTCTCTAAGCCCGCCCTTCTTAAGCAGCGTTTTATAGCTGTACTTATATCATTTGAGATGAAGGGTAGGATAAACGGGACCCTTCTATCGCTAGAGTTGTCGTTTGGAGGCCTGCGATTTCCTCTACACCTATTCTGAGCTACAGTTTCGTAGCCATTAGACACGGCTACTTGCCGTGCCAAGTTCCGGGANTAAGATCTGTTGAGATCTTGTCATTTTTGCTTAAGTTGGAAAGCCTTTATTCTGCCACGACCGACTTTCTATTAACCTCGGCATTGATCAAGTGATTTTCTTCGTATTTTTGTTGAGCATACGCGAGGTGTTACTATTCCTTGTTCACGATTAAGCTCACGTTTCGGCGGATTTCGCCTTCTTCAGAGCCTGGAAAGGTCAAGTTGATAGCAACTCACTCGGCCAGAC